TGTTTCACTTCCATAAAGGAGAGTGCTCAACACGCATGCCTGATAGACTCTCATCTTGGTGTTGGTGGTGAGCATGGTGTTATCCCACACTCGCTTCGTCAGACGGGCCATCGTGGTAGCTGCCTTGCCGATCCTGGTGTTCAGCTCTGCATCAAGGGAGAGGTTGCTGGAGATGGTAGACCCGAGATAGATGAACTTGTCCACCACCTCGAGGGTGTGGTCACCGATGGAGATGCTGGGTGCACTACTGACGTCTTGGCCCATGACCTGAGTCTTCCTCAGGCTGATAGTGAGACCAAATTCTGCACAGGAGGTTGAAAAGCGGTCGATGAGTCGCTGCAGTGCTGCTTCAGTGTGGGCGACAAGGCCAGCATCATCGGCAAAAAGTAGCTCCCTAACGAGCACCCTCTGTATTTTTGTCTTTGCCCATAGGCGTGCTAAGTTGAAGAGACCTCCGTTGCTCCTGGTGTGGATGAAGACGCCGTTGTCAGAGTCCTGGAAGGCATAGGACAGGAGCAGAGAGAAAAAGATGCCGAAAAGGGTTGGGGCAAGGACGCATCCCTGCTTCACGCCATTTTTGATTGTGAAGGGTTCTGAGCATGATCCGTCGAACTGAACGGTCCCACTCATGTCTTGATGGAAGGACACGACCAAGCTCAAGAGCCTGGGGGGACATCCAATCCGCTGGAGGAGGGCAAACAGTCCATCTCGGCTGACCAAGTCGAAGGCCTTGGTCAAGTCGATGAATGCCAGGTACAGGGGCTGTCTCTGCTCCCGGCATTTCTCCTGCAGCTGCCTCACAGAGAACACCATGTCGATAGTTGACCTTGCGGCCCTGAAGCCGCACTGTGCCTCTGGATAAATGCGTTCTGCGAGGAGTTGCAGTCTGTTTAGGGCGACCCGGGCAAATGCTTTGCCGACAATGCTGAGGAGCGAAATGCCACGGTAGTTGTTGCAGTCGCTCCGTTCCCCCTTATTCTTGTAGAGCGTGACGATCATGGTATCACGCATGTCTTTGGGCACCGCTCCTTCCTCCCAACACTGCATTAGTAGCTCATGAAGGTGTTGTAGGAGGGAGCTCCCTTTTGCGGCCTTGATTACCTCAGGAGGAATGTTGTCACTGCCTGGTGCTTTGCCGTTGGCTAGATTGTCAACAGCCTTGCTGAGCTCTTCTATGGTGGGTGGTGTGTCGAGCTCGACCATAGGAGACAGTGATTGAGTGTTCTCAAGGGCTGTGCTGGTGATGGTGGTTTCCCTTGAGTAGACCTCTTGATAGTGTTCAGCCCACCTCTTCATTTGTTTGCAGCGGTCTTTGATGAGCTCACCCTCGGCTGTTTTGAGTGGGGCTGTTTTGACGGGACTTGGGACAAAAAACCTTCTTCATGCCCTCGTACATCCCTCGCATGTTGCCTAGGTCTGCAGAGAGTTGGATATTGTGGCAGAGATTTAACCAATAATCATTGGCACAGCGCCTGGTGATCTTCTGTGTGTCACTTCGAGCAGCACGGAGTGCTACGAGTGTCTTTGTGGAAGGGTCTTTCTTGTGAGCAAGTAGGGCGGCTCGCTTAGCAGCGATGGCGGGCTCCAGTTTAGCGACTCCTGCCTCAAACCAGTCAGTGCTCTTCCTCTCTCTTCTACCAAAGGTGTCCAGGGCAGTCTGGAACACAGCCTCGCGTATATGGTTCCACCGTTCAGTTGCGCTGTCGGTTGGGCAGCCCTCCAGGGCTTCGTCGATGGCTATGGTGAAGTGTTCCTGCAGTTCAGGTTTGTTTGTTCTGGCTATGTTTATACAGGGTCGGGGCTTCTGCTTGGAGTGGTGGGCACGTCTGGGAAGGAGGTGCACCTTGCTTGCGACGAGGGAGTGGTCGGTGTCGCAGTCAGCACTGTGGTAGCTGCGTGTGACCAGCACTTGATTCAGCAAGGATCTTCTGGTGGCGACAAAGTCCAACTGGTGCCAGTGATGAGACCTTGGGTGTTTCCAGGACATCCTGTGGTGGGGCTTGGTGGGGAAGAAGGTGTTGGTGAGACAGAGGTCATGGAAGGAGCACAGCTCAAGGAGGCGCTGGCCATTTTCGTTGAGCTTGCCGACGCCAAAATGGCCGATGCAGCGAGGCCAGGAATTGTGGTCGGCTCCCACACGGGCGTTGAAGTCTCCAAGTAGGAATAGATGCTCCTTCTTGGGAATCAGCCTGATCTTTGCCTCGAGCTCCTCGTAGAACTGGTCCTTAGCCTCGGTTGCGGAGCTGAGTGTTGGGGCGTAGACGCTAAGAATGTTGGTTGGTCCAGAAGAGGTGGTGAGGCGAAGGGAGAGGACACGTGGTGTGCCTGAAGAGGGCGCTTCTATGGTGGATAGGAGGGTGTTCCGGACAGCAAAACCGACGCCATAGAGTCGGCGCTGGTGGTGCTCTTGCCCCTGCCAGAAGAACGTGTAGTTGCTCTCCTTCAGGCTGCCGCTCTCGGAGAGTCGCGTCTCTTGCAGTGCTGCGATATCAATGTTCATATATATATATATATATATATATATATATATACACATACAATATGCATACATACATTTATTCATTTATTCATTTATATGCACATAAATAGACACACATACATACATATATATATACATATATATATATATATATATATATATATGCCTATAAACATAAATTTATATATATATATATATATAATATATATATATATATATATATATATGTATATATATATAATATATATATATATATATGTATATATACATATATATATATATATATATATATATATATATATATATATATATATATACACATTTATATACTAATATAGTTTTAGTTCATCATTGCAATCTTTATCATAAATGTAGCCTTTAATATACCATTACCTATTTTTATATTAACACCGACATTATCATAACCGTTACTGTCATCATCCCTATTATTATAAATACTCTTTGTTATTATCGTCACAATTCCTTCAGAAAAAAAAATCTTGCCTACGTGTACAACTACGTAAACCTCGCGTTCAACGGCCCAGGCAAACGCAGGTACAGATTCCCTCCCTCTGACATAACAATCGTACCAACCTAACCCATCTATTTTGCTGTGATTTTTCTTGCTCCTTTTTTTCCATATCTATTCTCCTCTCCTCATTGCTTTTTTTTCTTCTTCTTCTTTTTGTCCTTATCTCTATCTGTTCCTACCCTCTCGAGAGTCTAGCGGTCAGTAACTTTCTTTTTTTTTACTCTCTCTCTCCCTCTTCGGTAACCTGTGACCCATTCCTGCCCTGGATATGACGACGACAAATGCTAACAGGGGTTTTCACCCTTTCTCACAATATACAGGACACGTGAGCGGTCCTAAGCATGGCTTATCAACACGTGGTATACCTACTGAAGGGCAAGAGAAGGGAGTTACCACCCTTATCGTAGTGGTTTGTCCTCTTTCTTGCTCCCTGGCCTCCCCCCCCCTGATCTCTAACAGGAGGATTTGGTGCCACCGCTGCCACCATAACTGTTTTCTGAAATTATTTACTGTAAAACACAAATCCTCATGATGACAATCAGATTCTCAAATCATTATAACAAGCAACGGATTAACAGAATATTGATTAGAAGTTATACCATTAATTGTATAAATTGTATGTAACTTCAAAGTTTATACCTTTTCCCTCTTCGTCATATCAAAATCATTGCCTCCCCCCCCCCCCCTAATCAAGAATTTTCTAGACACTCCAGGACTGTCAGCCATGATCCCACTTAAAGACGTGATCATCTTAACTAAGATTTAATCACATAGAGAAGCAACAAAATAAACAGATCCATAACATATTGACTTACTAAGTATATTTACTTAAAAGAGAGAGAGAGATGTAAGGAGAGAGACGCAGAGAGAGAGAGAGAGAGGAGAGAGAGAGAGAGAGGGAGAGAGAGAGAGAGAGAGAGAGAGAGAGAGAGAGAGAGAGAGAGAGAGAGAGAGAGAGAGGAGAGGAGAGGAGAGAGAGAGAGGACAGGGAGAGAGAGAGAGAGAGAGAGAGAGAGAGAGAGAGAGAGAGAGAGAGAGAGAGAGAGGGAGGAGAGAGAGAGAGAGAGAGAGAGAGAAAGAAAGATAGAGAGGATGAGAAAGAAACAATTAAAGAGAGAGAAAGAAAGAGATAGATAGAGAAAGAGAGAGAGAGAGACAGAGACAGAGACAGAGACAGAAAGAAAGAAAGAGAGAAAAAGAAAGAGATATTGGTCGTCATGCTCTCCTCTTGGTGCTAACCTTCGCCCGCTGTTCAACCTTGGAATGATAAAGCTCTGTGTTCACAACTATAATCTATCGCCATGCATTCGAGCTTATTTACAATTGCATTCTCGACCAATAATAATAAGACAGACAGACAGAGAGAAAGATATACATACACACACACACAAACACACACGCATATATGTATATACACCCCCATACAAACACACACACGCACACGTATATACATATACATATATATATATATATATATATATATATATATATATATATATATATATATATATATATATATATATATGGATATATACTCGTATATATGTATGTGGGGGGTGTGGGGATGTATACATACATACTGTATACATACATACATAAATAGACAGAGATGGACAGACAGACAGACAAACAGTCAGAAAATAGACAGAGATGGACAGACAGACAGACAGACAGTCAGAAAATCCAAAAATAGTCTGGAATACGTTACGCCCGAGAGTTCCCTCCGAAGAGGTCATTGTCACCCTCCTTTTGGCTACTCGAACGGCCAGACGAGACTCGAGGTTCCTGTCAAGGCATTATGACAGAGATGAAGATCAAGCTAAAGAAGAAGAAGAAGAAGAAGAAAAAAAAAACGAGAGAGAGGGGGAAAAAATTGAGATAAAGAGGAAGAGAGACAGAAGGGAGGAGGTGGTGGAGGAGGAGGAGGAGGAGGAGAGGGGGGGGGTAGTAGACAGAGGCAGAGGGTGCCAGACAAAAGGGTCAACATTACCTAAGATTTGTCAATGTCTACGGAGGTCAGTGATACTCTTGTCATCTCCGGCGTCACGAGGTTTTGTTGCCAAGGTAGACATTCTTGATAATGAAGAGGAGAAAAAGGAGGAGGAGGAGGAGAAAAAGAGGATGAAGAAGAAGAAAAAGAAAGACGAAGAAGAAGAAGGAGGAGGACGAGAAGGAGAAAGAAGAAGAAAAAGATGATATTAGCAGAAGAAGAAGAAGAAGAAGAAGAGTAATAGGAGGTGGAGGTAGAGAAGGAAGAAGAAGAAGACGAAGAAAGAGAAAACAAAATTGAAAAAAAAAGACAAAGAAGCAGAAAAACAAAACAAATAATCTCCCATTACCCTTCCGGACAACCACCCATTCAGGGAAACATAACAACACCCAAAGCTCCTCATTACCTGAACACAACCACCAACCTGACAACGAAACAACGCTGTAATTCGTCTCGATCGTTACGTAATGGCCTCGTTTACGTAATGCTGAAGATGTGTTCGATATTGCGCGACGTGGTTTCGTCTTCGCTAACGTAAATCTGGCGTCTGTGGAGTCACACTCTCGGGAAACAATAACTTGATACGATCCTCTGCCTAATCTTGACAGATTTTTTTTCTTGTTCGTTAGTCATCTTTGTGTTTCTTCTTCTTCCTTTTCTTCTGCTTCTGCTTCTGTTATTTTTCGTGCTTATGTCTTCTTTTTTATTATTATTATAATTGTTGTTATTTTCATTATTATATTTCTTTGTGGATTCTTTCTTGTAATTGTTATTCTTTCCGTTGCTTGTGTTGTTGTTTTTCTTTTCTTTTACTTTGTCTTCATCTTTTTTTCTCCTATTCCTCCTCTGCTTCATCTTCTTTATCCTAATCGTCTCCTATGTGTCTTCCACTTCCTCTTCTTCTTCTTGCTATCTATCTTCCTTTTCTCTTGCATCTCTGCTTAAGCAACCCTTGAGAAATGCACCAGTATATTGCAATATAATTCTGCAATGCTTGAAACATCACGTGGCTTTTAGAATTCATTTTGTTTCTTGAAAAAACTCCATGATTTTTTTTTTTTTTTTTTTTTTTTTTTTTTTAAGCCTCAAACGACTTTTCTTTTTGGAAACCTCGATTATTGTTGTTGTTGGAAATTTCGTTTGTCTGATGTGCTCTTCGCTTGGCTCTTGGACACGTCACTTGATTCGTCTTCACTTCATTTAACTCGTGGAAATCTTAACCTTTTTTCTTTCTTTTTTTATCTATTTTTCTTACCTCCCTTGACTTATGGGAAGCTTAAGCGATTTTATTACACTTTATATGACTCTTGGAAACCTCTTAGATTCTTTTAAACATCACTTTACTCAATAAAACATCGTTTGACTCTTTTTTACACTTTACTTGACTCAGTAAAATCTCATTTAAGCCTCACTTCAGTTGACTCATGGAAACGACATTTGACTTTTCACTTCATTTGACTCTTGGAAACTACATCTGACCTTCTTTCACTTCACTTCACTTCATGGAAACCTCATTCGACCTTTCACTCCACTTCACTTCATGGAAACCTCATTCGACCTTTCACTCCACTTCACTTCATGGAAACCCCATGTTCTACACTTCAAGGAAAAGGAAATTACACCAAGTGTCATTATTTACTCACTACTTCATTATGAACGATCATTTACATTACCTTACGTTCCTTTTGAACTGATAACAACACTTTAAAACTTCCGTCCAAATCACATTGGTGTTGCTGAAAGGGAGAAGAAGGAAGAATTGAGAAGAAAACAGAAACAGATCATGAAAAGAAATTAGTTTTGTACGGATTCAGTTCGAGTTGAAATGGAGAATATGATCTATTATGCTTTATGAGTGAGCTATCGTCCTGTTTTTTTTTTTTTTTTTTTCTTCTTTCATATCTTTATCTATTTTCTTTATTTTCTTCGCCCATTTCCTCCTTAATCGTGTATTGTGCACAAACACACACACCTACATATACTTACGTATATATATATATATATATATATATATATATATATATATATATATACATATATGTATATGTATATGTGTGTGTATATATATATATATATATATATATATATATATATATATATATATATATATATGTATATATATATGCATATATATATATATATATATATATATATATATATATATATATATATATATGTATATATGTATATATATATATACACACACACATATATATACACACATATTCATACATATATATATATATATATATATATATATATATATATATATATATATATATATATATATATATATATATATATATATATATATATATATATATATATATATATATATATATATATATATATATATACACATATACATATACATATATATATATATATATATATATATATATATATATATATATATATATATATATATATATGTATGTATGTATGTATGTATACATACATGTGTGATGGTTTGTGTGTGTTTACGTCTGTGTATGTATA